TGGGCATGAGTTGTACTGTAATAAGGAAGTTGGGAGGATCTCTTAGGTTTTTTCCTGTCTTTTGTTGGATGTGTTCCATGATTGTGTGTATTTGCAAGTTAGGATCCTCACAATATGAACTCCTCATTTAAAGGCTGTCATTCTTTAGACTGATTCTGATGAATACTTATGGAAGATTTCTCAGAGCTATATATTTCTTTCAAATTTGCTAAATGCAAATTACAATAAATGTATTTCTATATTTTGGCCAAATTTCAAGTTTGTTTCAGCAAGAGTGTAAGCACTACATGCCCTAAATGTGCCATCTGAAAACACCACTACGGTTTTCCATAAAGCAGGAGGAAGATTAGCCTCAGTGTACTGTGTCTTGGGCCACCACGCCAGAGAATTACTGAGGATCTATGAGTGGCAAGTTACTGTAAGGAGGCATCAAAATGTAGTGGAGAAGCATTGGACAAGCAAGCAGAAGCCTTGGGTTTCAGCCTGAATCTTAGATGGTGACCTCTAAGCACCTGATTATGGAGAAAATCGCTTCATGTGTCTGAGCCTCTGTTTCCTTATCTGCAAAATGGTGATAATAAATCCTGCTGAACACATTTGGTTCTTCTAGGGTTCAAGGTACATCCTGAAAACTCGGAAAGGTAACTATATCTGTCATTTAGTAGGAAGAGCCTACGGAGGTTAGGAAGGTGGGGGATGCAGTAGAAGGATCAAGGATGATTTAGAACCAGAAACAAAACGCGATGCAGCCCCCTTGTGGTGCTGTCAGAACCATCAGCTCTTCCGTGTGCCCCTCTCCTTCCTGTGGGAATGAGGGGGACAGACATGACCTACCGTTCATGATCCATTTAGTGCGGATAAGAAGAAGGAAGAGTAGTTGGATGTCACCGTCTAAGGATCAACAGAACAATAGAAGAACGAGGGGAAGAAATAGGGCTGGAGAGGAGGGAGATGGAATTAACACTACACTATCACTTGTGGCAAGTCAGACACCCAGCGTATGCTATCCTTTTACGCACAGGGATGGCTTCTGGGTTCCCAGGGGTAGGAATAGAACCTTCAGTTGATGAATATAAAATAATCATTAAAAAAGTGAAACAACCAAAAAATGAGGAATGTTCTATTACAAAAAAAAGAGAGGAGGATTCTATTCTTAAAAATTGTCAATATCATAAAAGACAAAGAAAGGGTGTGGAAACATTCCAGATTAAAGGATGCTAAAGAGACCTGACAGCTACTTGCAATAGCTGATCTAGGCTGAATCCCATACTCGGGGAGGTGAAACGATGCTGTAAAATATTATTGGGTCAATTGATGACATTGGGATAGGGATGACAAACGAGATGAAAGTACTATACCAATGCCACATTTACTAAAGTTGAAAGCTATACTATTGTTATGTAAGCAAATACCTGTATTCTTAGGAAATACTGAAATATATAGGGGTGATGGGCTATAATGCATGTAACATCTCCAACTGGTTCAGGAAAGAAAATTCAGCGACAGAGAGGGAGAGAGAAAAGAAAGAGGGAGCAAATGGGGTAAAACGTTACAAATAGATGATCTGGGTGAAAGGTATCAGGGTGTTCTTTGCTCTATTGTTATTTGGGCAACGTTTCTGTAAGTTTGAATTTATTTCCAAATAAAGATTTTAAAAGGAGAAAGAAATATTTTAAGGAGGACCTCTATTCATTAAACATTCTCATCATTATTTTTAGTTATTATAATAACATTTAACATCTGCATGGCTTCTAACCACTTACAAAATACTTTAACATATTTTATTTTATTTAACATATTTTATTTTATTTAATCTTCATTAAGAAAGCCTCATTTTACAAATAAGGAAACTGAGAATCAGAGACCTCTTGAGAGACATTGGCTAAATCATCTTTGTATTTTCCCAGGGAGGGAAGGAAAGAAGGAAGGCGGGGATAATGAACTGATAGGCCCCAAATCACAAACCTAGAGTTGTACAAGCAGGACTGAGACTCAGAGCTCAGAACCTTTTCACTGCTTTGCAGTTATCAAACACCATAAAACACACTCAAATCTTAGACCAGGATTAACCATTATTTAATTCCTCTTTGATGCTTCACAAGTCACATAATCCTACAGTGCTGTAGGCTAACTTTTATGTATGCCATTTATCATCCTGTAGCTGAGGGAAATAACAGTTGAAAAAAATGTTAATCAAATCCTGGAAGAATGAGACTATCCTGTAGTAACCCCCAACATATTGCTTTCAGCAGTGCTGCTATTTAACCTAATAAGATAAAATTATTTTATGTAGACATTTTACTTACACACGAGAAGGAAAGAGATGTTATCAAGATATCTATACTGCTTATTTTGGTGGCAAACCTTACCCCGAATATGAAATTTTGTGTTTTGTTATTTCGAGCACTTCCAACATTTTTATTTTTCATTTTCAGCATTTAAAGCAAAAATCCTAGATAGCTAAAGGAGTTTATTCTCACAGGTGAAGAAGAGACATGTTACCACCAGCAGAAATGGATTCTGGGAATTGGTAATTAATCCTCTTTGTTTTAATTGGTGCCAAGTATTCTTGGTTTCTTTTTGAAGTTCAAGAAGTTACACTAATTAAAAGCAATAGAAGCACATAGATGAAGAAACACAGGAGTGTTAAGAACAAGAATGAAATCCTAGACTGCTAATGCTGGGAAGGATTACCTGGTGGAAGTGGACCTATAGGGGTGATGAAGAAAGTCTGGTATCAGTGGCAGCCGTGGGAATAGATTACGACCAGGTTTACTTTCATGCCTGGGCCTTTAGTCAGCCTGTATTGACATATCTCGTATTATGTGAACAATGAATCTAATTCTGGATACTCATGTGTAGGGAGATGTGATACAGTAGGGAGACGAAAAAGGTGTCACTCGGGGAGGACAGCTGGCCATCTGAGAAAGCCTGAAAGGTGATTAGACAACTGATTGTTGCTTATTAATCAACCTTCAATGGGCCGTCCTTTGGGACAAAGAGACATGGCTTATGACTTCTCAATTTGCATTCAGCTCTCCATCCCTTCTCTGATATGTTGTATTACCTTGTTCATCAGTAAATTAAAAATCAGATGTACTGTGATTCTTAATGCTTAACCAAAAGAAAATGTTTTAAGCAGTTATCCTCATACAGATTCCCATTTGCATAATTTATAGCAAGAGAACCTTCTCCTGTGAGTTATCCGTCCTCCGTGAGCGCTCAATTTTGTAGATGAGAACCTCATGCTAATATGAGCGGACAGGCCTATAGGCTTCATTTTAGGAAGAGCAAACTTACTCCTCAGTTCTTTATTCAGTAGATTTTTGTTGAGCACTACTGTATGTCATGGATTGAAAGTTCAAAGATGAATAAGGCCGACTCCCTGCTTTTATAATTGGGGAAATGGATAATTAAACAGATGGTCACAAAAAAATGATATGCACTAAGATAGGATAGGGTGAGCACGAGGTTCTGTGGAAGAATTTGTGATAGGCACCACTTAACCCACTCTATGACAGACACTTAACCTGTTTGTGAATCAAGGAAGGTTCTGGGGAAGAAGATAGCTAAGCAGAGCATTGAAGGACACATAAAGGTTAGGCAGAATAAGGAACAGAAGGGAAGAAGGGAATTCCAGGCAGAGGGGCTAAAACATGCAAAGGTCAGGAGGCAAAAGAAAGCACGATTTGGGAGACTGCAAAAAGTCGGTATAGCTGGAGCTAAGGAAGGGTCAGATAATGAAGGTCCTCAAGAGAAATTCCAAGAAGTTTGGATTTTATACCGATGGTTTTAAGATAAAGTTGAAGGGTTTTAAATAGACATAATATGGTTGAGTGTACAGAGAACGGATTGACATGCAGGTGAGTCTGGAGGCAAGGATTCTAGCTGGGAGGCTACTGTGACAGTGCGAGCTGGGGAAGCATGATGGGCTGGAGAGCCACAGTGCAAATCGCCAACATGGCGCACCTTCCTACAGCTGTGTGGTGTGGATCGAAAGTTTGCTGAGAAAGAAGACATGGGGTGGAGGAATTTAGAACCCATCTGTGCTCTCTGCCCTTTTAAGAATTGTTAAATCATGTCATCTTCATTTTCAAAGAATCACACACTCAGAATAGTGTGGTCTAAATGACGTAATTTGATGGAAGAAAAAGTCGTGTTATTCAACACTGAAACACTGAGTACCAACAGATGGATGAAACAAGCTAGGGGCATTATCAGAGTTGTGAAATTTCACTAATAATTGTGATTATAACCTTTCATGTTCATTGTGAATTCTACATGGAGTATCTGCAAATATATACATTCAAAGTTTAGACATAAAAAATTGTTCCTTTATTAATTCTTAGTTTTAGAATCAAGAAGACTGTGCCATGTTCATTTTGGCAGATTCAGTGCCTCAAACAGGGATGGCCATACAGCAAGTGCTTAACAGGTGGTCGAAAGTCAAGAATTAAAAACACACTGACTAAAATTGATTTTCTACGACCTTTGATGATTTTCATGAAAATTCTAAGAAATTTCTTTAATATCAAACAAATATTAATTGGAAGTAAAATAAATAAATACCATGTTCATTTGGGATAACGTAGCTTCGGATGTGTTTAATAAAATTTACAAAAAAGCTGTGGGAATTGTGTGGGCGTAACTGAGTGAGGAATTTGGTCTTTTGTAATTCTGAGCTATTTGAAATGAGAAGGGTTGAGTAGTTAAAAAAAATGGATGGGAGGAGCTGGGGGTTTAATGGCACCCCACAATTTTCTTCTCATGGCTGTGACTACAGAAAGAACATTTTCTAATTTCCTCGAATGCTCACAAAGATGATTCCAGACCAAGGACTGGGGGAGCCTTTGAAGGTAAGAGTTGGAAAAGCCTTATATGGATATGTAGACCTCAATTATGTCCAAATTAAAACACAAACTATAACACATATATTAATTTATATAATGATAAACTATAATTTATATAGTTTTAGTTTTAAGAAAAATCATATTACATACCTTTTAAATGTTAGTACTCCATTTTTCCTGGTCCTTTTGAATGATGCTTTTATAACATAAAACCTTTATTTTTGCAATAAAAACAAAACTTCACAGTGAGCGGAGTGCAAATTACACATCTATACCCTTAGACAACAACATAGTCATGAAATTATATTACACAAACCAAATTTCTTACTAAATGCACGCTGGTATTTCCTTTGGCATTTATTTCTTTGTATTTTAGTCATGTAGACAAGGACAAATATTCTCATGGAGACTCCTTACTAGATATTTAATGGAGATCAATCGCTGCTAACGATGTCTGCACTGCACCTTACACCCAGAACATTTGCCTTGAAGTCTGTTATTCCACAATGCCTTCTTTTTTTTTTTTGCTGTTATAGGATGTAATTTTGTTTAGTTTTAAATTTAAGTTTCATTCATCTAAGGAGCTCTTTTCCATTTTGTTTTTCTGTTGCCCATCCTATGCCTTAGTTTATTTAACAAGAGTTCTAAGTGGGGAAAATGGAGGATTTGGGTTTAAGAGGAGATCCTGGGTCTTGCATTTTCCTGTTGGTGGCAGCACTGCCTTTGCTTTCTGTGTCCAGTACAAGGAGGGCATGAATGGGACGCAGTCACTCCCGAATGGAGCATTTAGGAGACCTCTGAGGACCGAATGTTTTCAATCAATCAGATGAACAAAAATGAAACTATCATATTTGTACAGTAAAGCAACCTCATTCTAAGAAAACCAAATAAGTTAAATTTACAAAAACAAATTTTGATTTAGGGATGGTGTATTTACAAAAAACTGCAAAATCCTTCAAATAGTGAGATTTCTATTGAATTTAAATTTTGATACTGGCATTTAAAATTCTTACTTAGGCACACCACAGTAGAGCACACTGAGCCTTGTATGGTAATAGAAAGCTTTGCATTTTGTAGGCTTTTGCAGTTCTCAAAGCCTGTATTGCGCCTCATCTCATTTGCATCCTCTCCCAACTGTGTGCAATGTCCCCAGCAGAGTGACACAGCCTGTAACTTCTAATCCAGCACCACTTTCACAAAACTCCATTCCTAAAGGGGGTTTTTCGCTTGTTTGTTTTTTTTTTTTTGAAGGCATATGTCTATTGCAAATAACATATAATTGTTTGGGACACCAGTCCGTATTAAAATATTGTATTTAGTGCAGAATATCGCAATATGTCTTTTAAACTCTTAAATAATGGACATTTCGTATCACATTTAAAAATAACTTCCCTTTTATTTGAAAATGTTTTAAGCAAATCTATTATAGCTACATATGGTAAATTCAGGATAGATGCCAATCTTCTTAATAAGTTAATGAATATTTGATTGATATTTCAGCCTACATTCTGGAGTAATAATTTGACATTACTTCTCTCTATAATGAAAATTATTCACTCGTCAGTTTATGCCATGCCCAGTGATTTCTTTTGAGGAAATTATAAGCATGCCTTTGATCCAATAGTTTAAAGAAATATGCATAATACACAAGCAGAATAAGTAGAATTCTCCCAGCCCTTGGGTCCTTTCAAGCTATCTGCTCGTCAGTCCGTCCACCTGTCCAGGCTTCTCCTCTCCTCCAGCGTCCTATTTCACCTTGGCTACCCTGAGGTGCTGTCCCATTTTCCAAAACCACTCTCATCTCCAGGCTCCACCACCCACGATCAAACTTCTATTTCAATTGAGACTTTGCTAGCTGGTTGTTTAAAGAGTAGCAATTAAACCAATTCATACCAATAGGTGCAGTAATCTTTATAAGGGTACATTTTAGAAGAATAAGTTTTTAAGCCAAAAAATGAAGCTATAATAACAGAATTCCACACCAGTAAAGATGTGTTTGAGCCAGGGATCTTCCAGGTACTTATTAAGTGGAAGTCTATTTCTCATTCTAATTCTATCTAGATCTTTCGAAAAATGAGAAAGCGTTTATTGGGCTAAAAGCTAACAATTTACTTATGAACTGGTGCCATGCTTGGTCAAGCTCTGCTTGTGTCTGACAGCCTTGTAAATGGTTAAGCTGCCATGTATTTTACTCAAGAGAATCTCAGTAATTTAATTTATCACCTTCCTTCTCTGATATGAATGAAGGAGGTGATTAATGTGGAATTTGCACCAGAGAGATATGAAGGGCGGTTTCTGTCTTCTGCCGGCTGCGTGGCCTTGGGCAAGTTACAGAACCTTTCCGAGCCGCAGCTTTCATATTAACCTTATGGTTTTGATGTGTGTGATTCCTGCACAGGGAAAATCATTAATATTCCCAAATATGTATATAACTTTAAAGCAATTTGGATCAGAGTCTCATTGTTGCTATTGTTGTTGTTTTCAGCTGGTCAAAATAATTCTAAAGTTAATATGGAAGAAAAAGTGCACAAATGTTGTCAAGAAATTTATGAGAAAACACCCAAATAGCAAAGGGGAACCAGATATTAAAACTTCCAATATGGCCTATTTTTATTTTACAATAAAAATAATACGAATATTGGCTCAAGAATGAACAAATTGATGAATGAAACAGAACAGAGAACACAGAAACCAATTCAAGTATTTTTTTTTTTTTTTTTGAGGAAGATATGCCCTGAGCTAACATCTGCCACCAATCCTCCTCTTTTTGCTGAGGAAGACTGGCTCTCAGCTAACATCTGTGCCCATCTTCCTCTACTTTATATGTGGGACGCCTACCACAGCATGGCTTGCTAAGTGGTGCCATGTCCACACCTGGGATCCAAACTAGCGAACCCCAGGCCGCTGAAGCGGAACATGTGCACTTAACCGCTGAGCCACCAGGCCAGCCTCACAAGTATTCTTTAAAACAAGAATGTAGGATGTGGTGATACTTACATTTCAATTTAGCGAGAAAAAGAATCACCTTACACACAGTGTTAAAGGAATGGAACATTCACCTGGAAGGAAGAAAAACAGAGTTGTAACTTACAACAAATACAAAGAGGATATTAGAGTATAATGAAGGAGACTGCTAATCTTGGGGGTAGGGGTATTCGCGGGCAAGACAGAAAAATCCACAAATCATAAAAAAAATGAACAAATTTGATTACACAAAAACCTAAAATTTCTGAATGGGAAAAGACACCATTACAAAGTTGAAAACCAAATAACAGACTGAAAAAGAATATTTGCAGAACATAGGACAAGGTGTTAATTTCCCTTATACACAATGAGTCCTGTGAATGGTTCAAAGAGAAGAAACATATCACAAAAACAGGTACACGAGATGATCTAGCAATTGTCAGATGAGGGACACCAATAGCCAATAAACATTTGAAAAGATGCTGTACCTCAGAGGTGGTAAGGGACAAGTATATTAAAGAAACAAAGAGATAATTTTCATGTGTCAGAGAGACAGAAATTTTAAAAAACTGATCAAATCTACTTTGGTAAAAATGTGGGAAAAATTGATACTTCTTGGGCACTACTGGTGAATGTATGAACTGCTAAAACATTTTTGAAAGTCATCTGGTAATATTAAATTTAAATGTGCATATCTTTGACCTAGAAATGCCACTTCTAGGAATCTAACTTACATAAATAAAAGCACGAGTTGTGAGGAAAAAGCTGACTGAAATTGCATATTGCTGCATTTGAAAAGGGGATATACCAAAATCCCGCAAATGCTCTGAATATCCACCAATAGAACAAGTATTGAATAGATTATTTATTTATACTAGAGAATATTAGGCATTCACATAGGTCTATACTCATTGATTTAGAAAAATATCCATGATACATTGTGAAGTGGAAAAAGCAAGGAGCTAAACAATATGTATAATACAATTGAATTTTTATAAAAAGACTCTGTGTTTAAACATAAAACTATGTAATATGTGGTGTGAGTGTGTGTGTGTGTGTGTGTGTGTGTGTAGGCAGAGAAAGACTTATGGAAGGATACATCCCAAAATGTTAGCAGAAGAATGGGATTGCATCAGGGGAGGAGACCATTAACTTTTTTTTTTTTTTTTTTTTGGTCAGGAAGATTGGCCCTGAGCTAACATCTGCTGCCAATCCTCTTTTTGCTTGAGGAAGATTGTTGCTGAGCTAACATCTGTGCCAATGTTTCTCTATGTTTTGTATGTGGGATGCCGCCAGATACAGTGGTGTGTAGGTCTGAACCCAGGATCTGAATCTGAGAACCCTGGGCTGCCAGAGCACAGCGTGAGAACTTAACCACTATGCCACCTGGTCAGTCACGACCATTAACTTTTTCTACCTCCACACTGCTTGAATTATTACACAAAGCCTTCATTACGCTTGTGGGTTGAATTGCACCCATCTCCCATTTGTATGTCGACATCCTAGCCCCCAGAACCTCAGAATGTGACCTTACTTGGAATTAGTTGCAGATGTAATTAGTTAAGCTAAGATGAGATCATACTGGAATAAGAGTCCTTATAAAAAGGAGGAATTTAGACACAGAGACAGACATGTGTGGAAGGAAGATGAGGTGAGGAGACACAGGGAGAAGATGGCCATGTACGAGCCAAGGAGAGAGGCCTGGAACAGCTCCTTCCCTCCCAGCCCTCAGAAAGAGCCAACCCAGCCCTCAGAAAGAGCCAACCACTGCTGTCAACACCTTGATCCCAGACTTCTAGCCTCCAGAATTGTCAGACAACAAATTCATGTTACACCACCCAATTTGCAGTACCTTGCTATGGCAGCCCTAACAAGTGAATACAATTACTATTGAAATTAGAAATCAATAAAGTATTTTCAAAAAAGGTGAGGAATGAAAAGAGCTGTGTTTTGTAAGTTTATGCATTCAAAAAACATTTATGAAATATCTATAATGTGCTAGATTATTTTATTAATTTACTTAACCTTTACTTTTACTTAATCTTCCAGAGGTGCCATAGGACAAGAGTGTCCACGTTTTACAGAAGTTCAGTAGCTTTTGCAGTGTCGCACAGTGACTCAGTTGCGGGGTAGGAATCCGGCTGACTTGAGCCCCTGTGCTGTAGCCGCTTTTCTGTGCTGAATCCAGTGTGAGAGCTTGATCTCTTCATTGTCCATTTTGAATCTTTAGTGAACATTCAGGAGAAAGTTAGTTCCTCCCTACCCCCGCCCCCATGGCTATAATGTCAACATGAGGCACAGAATAAAAATGCCAGAAGCACATCGCCCATCACATATGACACCAAAGTGGAATGATTTTATGGAATCTCCTTTTATTTTTTCACTTGGAAGGGAAAGACAGTGAACAATGGTTATAGCCTTTTCTTGGTTGTTCTCAACATTTCATGTTCATTTTTATCTTGCCAGTTGTCTAAGCTGGAGAGCTAAAAGATAGGAAGATGGAAGAAAGGAATAGTTCTGAAGTCATATGACTTAATCATAGGTGGTTTGGCTCCAGGAAATACATCAGAGTTTTATCAAGGATGAGTCCAACAGAAAATACCCGTGACCTTGTGATACAGACGTTATACTTTCCAAATATTCTAGTGTAGGGCAGAAGGTTTCTTTGTTGCTCTAATTACTTGGAAAGGGCATTCTGATTACCTTCTCTATTCTAGTGATGACAAGCATATTGGATGTTTATTATTTTATGCTATCATTTATGGCTAAACTCTTATTCATCCTTAACTTTCAGCTCAATTACCACTTTTTATTATACTGTCTCAGGTCAATTTGTTACACCCTCCTCTTTGCACCAGTAACACATTTTTACATACAGAATATATAATGTATTCTTAGCAGCATGTATTCACTTGTATTATATATGTATCAGAATCTCTCGCTAAATTGTAAATTTGTTAGGGTTTGAGACCTATGTTCTCAATGTTCATTAGCATCTCAGGACCTGGCATATAATAAGTGACTAAGAGAGCAGAGAGAATTACAGGTACAGGGTGGGTTAGGAATGGGATGGCAGAAAAGCACCTTCCTCCTCTGAACCCAAGACCACCTCATCATTCATCTTTGATACATGTACCACACCTCCAGTTGGCATGCTCACAACTCTGTGGTTTGCGGGCCATTCCCTCCTCCAAATGTACTCTCTTCTTCCCATCCTTCTTCTGTCTCCTCTCTCCTTGGCAAAATACAGTTCGTAGCAGTAGTAAAGGTACCATTATTAGTAGACGTAATGGCTAACATTTATAGAGCATTTATCGTGTCAGTATAATTCACATAAGTGTAGCTACGTGTATTTACATATACCAAATAATTTAGTCCTTAAAACAAATCTCTTAGATATTGTAGTATTATTAGCCCCACTTAATAGATGATAAAACTAAAGTACAAAGAGATTAATTTGCCCGAGCTCACATAGCTCATAACTGGTAGAGCTATAATTCAACCCAGGCAATCTGGTTCCAGAGCCTGTGTTCTAAATCACTATGTCTTCTTAACCAAGGAAATCAAACCTGTAATTGATAGTGTGGTAGAAAAAGGGAATAATTAAAAGATTATAGATATATATAGTATCTATATTTAATTATTTTAAATTAAAACATATAAATGTCACATTTAGTTGTCAAACTTTAGCGTAGGGCCAAGGCTTTTTCTTTGAGATAGTGTCTGCTGATTGAAGTTTCTTATAGTTCATCTTGCATTATCTTTGTCCTTTTTGCATTATTCTACAATCTCTAGTTTTGATTTCATTAAAGAGGAAGAGAAACTTAAGGGCACTTGCAAAGTAATCTGCGTGCAAAATTTATCTAGACGTTTACAATTTTCTTCCAGTTATTTGTAAGTGTCTTACTCACACCTAATGCAACAAAAATTTCAATTTTTTTATAGTGACTAATTTATGGAGCCTTTCCAAAGCATTCATTTTTACAGATCAACACTTCTCTTCCTTTTCATGCTGAAAGAATTGGTTTACATAATATTTAATTTGACTGAGTAATTACAATAAGTACAATGGGCATAAACACTGGGGAATCAATGCTTCTGACCCTTTAAAAAATTTACTATTTATTTATAGTTTTATTAAAATTTTTTATTGAACATTGGTTTATAGCATTATATAAATTACAGCTGTACATCGTTATATTTTGATTTCTGTGTAGACTAAGTCATGTTCACCACCCAAAGTCTAACTGCCATCAATTACCATATACATGTGTCTTTTTACCCCTCCCCCATTCCCTTCTGGTAACCATCGATCTATTCTCTATGTCTATGCATTTGTTTGCTGTTGTTGTTTTATCTTTCACTATGAGTGAAATCACATGGTATTTGGCTGTCTTCATCTGACTTATTTTGCTTAGCATAACGGCCTCAAGATCCATCTACGTTGTAGCAAATGGAAAGACTTCATCTTTTTCATGGCCTAGTAGTATTCCTCTGTATATATTATACCGTATTTATCCATTCATCTGTTGATGGGCACTTAGGTTGTTTCTAAGTCTTGGCTATTGTGAATAATGCAGTAATGAATATAAGGGTGCATATATCTTTTTGAATTAGTGTTTTCCTGTTCTTTGGATAAACACTCAGAAGTGGAATAGCTAGATCATATGGTAGATCTATTCTTAAGTTTTTGAGGAACCTCCATACTGTTTTCCATAGTGGGTGCACCAGTTTGCAGTCCCGCCAGCAGTGTACGAGGGTTCCCTTCTCTCCACATCCTCTCCAACACTTGTTATTTCTTGTCTTCTTCATAATAGCCCTTCTGGCTGGTGCGAGGTGATGTCTCATTGTACTTTTGAGTTGCATTTCCCTAATAATTACAGATGTTGAACATCTTTTCATGCACCTGTTCACCATCTGTATATCTGACTCTTGATAAGCACACAAGTCATCAGGTGAGAGGGGAAGCCTGGGCACTCCAGAAGGCAGTTACTATAACTAGCAACCAGTAGCCGTGGTTATCAGGCAGTATATTTACAGGGGGAATGGGAGTGTGGTCAATCTGCTGTTAACTGGAGTTGATTCAGCAAGTGCT